ATTAACAACAACAAAACAACAACAACAAAAAATGAGAGAACAGGGTGGGATGTGCCGTGTCCAGAGAGATGTGAACACCCTCTCTGTCCCCAGAGCTCAGGCCAGCCCGTGCCCCTGGTGGTGGAGAGCTGTGTCCGCTTCATTAACCTCAACGGTAAGCCTGGCACCTGGCACCCATCTGGGGGGTGGGGGAGGCCTCGGTGCCCACCAGCCCTTTGTTCTCCCACAGGCCTGCAGCATGAGGGCATCTTCCGGGTGTCGGGGGCCCAGCTGCGCATCTCAGAGATCCGTGATGCTTTTGAGAGAGGTGGGGACAGGAAGCGTGGGGTGGGGTAGGGTGGGAGGCTGGCCAGACCGGCTGTGCTCAGCCTCCTGCACCCTGTGTTGTCCTCAGGGGAGGACCCCCTGGTGGAAGGCTGCTCGGCCTGCGACCTGGACTCGGTGGCAGGGGTCCTGAAGCTCTACTTTCGGAGCCTGGAGCCCCCGCTCTTCCCCCCGGACCTATTCCTGGAGCTTCTGGCTTCTGCAGGTGAGGCCAGGGCCCGAGGCCGGCGGGGTGGGCAGGGCTGGTCCCCAGTGGCCCGTGGCCGCACTCACGGGCTTCTCTCTTCTCGGGGTGGTGGCCTCGATCACAGAGCTGGAGGCCATGGAGGAGCGGGTGGAGCTGGTGAGCCGCCTTCTGACACAGCTGCCGGGCCCAGTGCTGGTGGTGCTGCGCTACCTCTTCACCTTCCTCAGCCAGTGAGTGCTTCTCGGGGGGCCAGGGGGGCTGCCCAGGGGGTGCAGGGGACACGGGGCAGGGAGTTCCCTGCTTGTGACTCGCGTGTGCCCCCAGCCTGGCCCAGTATAGCGATGAGAACATGATGGACCCTTACAACCTGGCCGTGTGCTTTGGGCCGACGCTGCTGCCCGTGCCCCCTGGGCAGGACCCCGTGGCCTTGCAGGGCCAGGTGAACCAGCTGGTGCAGACGCTCATTGTGCAGCCCGCACGGGTTTTCCCACCCCTCACCCTGCTGCCGGGCCCTGTCTATGAGAAGTGCATGGCACCACCTTCCGCCAGCTGCCTGGGGTACGCTCTTTGTGTTGCTGGGGGATGGGGTTCGGGGGGCGGTCCAGTGGAACCCCCTAAATGCTCATCGTCCTTGCTCTACTCTGGGCCTCAGGGACACCCAGGTGGAGGGACTGGCAGGCGAGAACGAGCCGGAGCTGGAAGCTGGGACCCCAGCCCAGGAGGATGGTGAGGGTATCTGGAAGGAGGATCCCACCCTGGCCCTACCCTGGGTGCCCCCCCCCACTCAGACCCCTTCTTCTCCCCAGTCCTGGAGGGCGTCGTGGAGGCGGTGGCCTGCTTTTCCTACACAGGCCGCACGGCCAAGGAGCTGACCTTTCAGCGTGGGGACGTGCTGCGGCTGCACGAGCGGGCCTCGGACGACTGGTGGCGGGGCGAGTGTGCTGGCACCTGCGGGCTCATTCCGCACAAGTACATAACGCTGCCTGAGGGGTAAGTGAGTGCCCCATGCTGTCCGGAGACTCTCCACAGCTGCCCTTCCCCCAGGTACTGGCTCTTTCGTACCCCAAGTCTCAGAGTCTGGAGGCTTTTTTATTTTTTTTTAACTTTTTAAAAATATATTTTACTGATTTTTTACAGAGAGGAAGGGAGAGAGAGAGAGAGTTAGAAACATCGATGGGAGAGAAACATGGATCAGCTGCCTCCTGCACACCCCCTGCTGGGGATGTGCCCGCAACTAAGGTACATGCCCCTGACCGGAATCGAACCTGGGACCTTTCAGTCCGCAGGCCGACGCTCTATCCACTGAGCCAAACTGGTTAGGGCTGGAGGCTTTTTTTAAAAAAATATTTTTAAAAATTGATTTCAGAGAGGAAGGAAGAGGGAGAGAGAGATAGAAACATCAATAATGAGGGAGAATTATTGATAGGCTGCCTCCTGCATGCCCCACACTGGGGATCAAGCTCACAACCTCGGCATGTGCCCTGACTGGAAATTGAACCATGACCTCATGGTTCATAGGTCAGTGCTCACTCAACCACTGAGCCATGCCAGCTGGGCAGCCTGTAGGCTTTCTGTGTGCCCTTCTGAGCACTTCTTACTGCCACTGAGGGCACAAAACCTGCTGGCCCCCAGCAACGTAAACAGGCAATCTTTCTGACTCCAGAGCAGAGAAGCACGCTGTGGGCCTGGAGCTGCAGGCTGGGGAGCTGCTGAGCAGTGCGGAGGGCCTCCCGGCTGTGGAGATCACCCAGCGGTGAGCAAGGGGAGTTTGGCCCCTCGGGAAGACCCTTCTGGTGGCCTCACTGCCCGCCCCCACCTGAGCACTGCTCTGGGGGCCAAGCCTGTCCCAGGCAGCAGGCAATGGGCCGGGCTGGAGGGGGATGGGGCCAGGTTTTGGGCACCTGGAGAGAAGCCCAGTGGGGGAGAGTTGTCTGGGTGAGGGATGCCACAGGAGGACAGAATGGACCCGCTGGGCCAGCCTCACTGTCTTTCTCTTGGCCACACCCTGGGATGGGAGGAGTCACTGGCAGGTTGTGGAGACTTCCCAGGGCCCCACCTGGCTCACTGTCTGTGCCCTGCAGGCCAGAACTATGTACCCCATCCGGGGGCTCTTTTGGGCACAGACGGCACTGTTTGGTCCCAACCTCCCCAGATCGACATGTGGAGATGGATAAGGTGAGTGGGGGACGGCTGAGCAGCAGGTGGGGGATATCTCTCTGGGTGGGAAGGGTGCCTTGCCTCCCCTTATGAACCAAATTCTTCCCTCCTGAGGGTTTAGTCTGTCCTTCCTGACCTCAGACAGGCTGGCTGAGCCCATCCCAGAGAGGGGCAGGCCAGTGAGGGGAAGGATGGGCCCAGGGGCAAGGACAGGGGACACAGAGGCTCATGCATTTGGGCTTCATGGTTCTTTTTAAAAAATATATTTTTATTGATTTCAGAGAGGAAAGGAGAGGGAGAGAGAGAAACATTAATGATGAGAGAGAATCATCGATCAGCTTCCTCCTGCACGCCCCCCCACTGGGGATCGAGCCCGCAACCCAGGCAGGTGCTATGACTGGGAATCCAACTGTGACCTCCTGGTTCATAGGCCAATGCTCAACCACTGAGCCACGCCAGCCGGGCCACCCTCTCCACATTTCTCATATGGTTGGTTCTTCAGTGGGAAGTGACGAGTGGTTTGGGAGAGGGGCTACCGGGCAGGCTTCAAGGCTGGAATCTAGAGCCAGGCTGGGTGGCAGGTGGTGACATGGCAGGAGCTTGGTGGGCCAGGGAGGATGAAAGGGACAGATGGCAAAGAGGTCGGAGGGGGTGGCTGGCTATGGAGCTGGGCAGGACAGTGGTTCTCTCAGGGGGCAAGAGGAGGTGCTGGGCATGGCTCTGGCAAGGGGTGCAGCCTGTTGAGCCCCGGCTTCCTGCTCTGTCCAGTGGACCCAGTGCACCCACCCGATGGGTGCTCACTGCTCCCAGCTGAGACAGGCCCTGAGATCAGACTGGGCCCAAGGAGAGAGCTTGAGAGTAGGCTGTGTCGGGTGTGGCCCAGTGGCCAGGCTGAGAGCCGGGGGACAAGGGGGCTGAGTTGGACCACCAGGTGGTGAGGCGGGGCTGGGCAGCTGAGAGATTCCAGGGGAGGCCATCAGCAGGTGGGGCCCGGCGGGGTACAGCTGGATGCTGATTTGGGAGCTCCTGCATGCTGGGAGATCTCAGGCTGGGAGAGAGTGGGCATGAGAAGGAGAAGGGGGCAGTCAGGGCCCAGCCAGAGGCTCCCACACTCGAGGCTGGGTTGAAGATTGCTGTCCCCAAAGGAGGTGGTGACAGCCACACCAAAAGTGGCAGGAGGAAAACTGGGCAAGGGAGGAGGGACAGGTTGGTGGCAGATGACTTTGGTTTGGGAGTGGGGGGGTTCTGGTGGAGGGTTGGGCAGCAGGGGGTAGGAGGGCCTCACTCCTGTGGTCATCGTGTTGTCAACACACTGACCCGGGGGTGGGGGGAGTGGCAGGGCAGTGAGGGACACTCCTACCAGATGCCCTCCCTTTCACCTCTCTGCCAGGCTGTGGCGCAGACCATGGACTCCGTGTTTAAGGAGCTCTTGGGAAAGACTACCGTCCGCCAGGGCCTGGGGCCAGCATCCACCAACTCTCCCAGCCCCGGGCCCCGCAGCCCGAAGCTTCTAGGCCACAGCCGCCTGGGCAAGAACAAAGGCTTCTCCCGCAGCCCTGGGGCGCCGGCCTCACCCTCATCCTCATCGTCCCAACCCCCGGGCCTGGACTCACCCCTCAAGCCACACTGAGGTGCTGCTGGCTCCTCAGCAGACCCCGCCCCCCCTCACCCGAAGGGTTGCCAGCAAGACCCTCCTCCCTCCCCAGTCCCTTTGCTTCTCCCTGGCCCTGTCCAGCAAGCACGGAGCACCTGCTCTTGACCCTTTGCGGAAAGGACACGGCTGCCCAACCGAGCCCCTGCCTGCCCCAGCCCTGGCTTAGGCCCCTTTGGGAGGCAGCCAGCGGAGGCTGGGGGCAGTCCCTCCCCAGCTTGCCTGTGAGGGCTCATCAGTGGCTGTTGGGTGGTGGGTGCCCTTGCTCAGATGAGCAGGCCTGCCAGTGCCCAGGCCCTTCTCTGCTTCAACCGAGGGCACGAGACTGGCAGGGGTTGGCAGGCCTGGCAGCCATTCATAAAGACTTGAGCATTGACTCCCCTACGTGAGCCAGGTCTCTTGTTTTGGGGGACTGGGCACGTGGATACAGGGACAACCCCCTGTCACCCTCACTGCTTGAGGCCAGATGCCAGGGCGCTCAGCAAAGGCGGCAGGGTGGGCGGCTGGACCAGCTTCTGTTGGGAGGCGGGGGGCTCGGCACAGGGCTGTGTGGGCCGGGGGCTTGGACATTTGAAGGCTGTCACATGCATCGTGAGCTCCACAGTCAGACGTGTGGGGGGGGGGCAGGGGGGGTCTGAGGATGTCTTTCCATGCCACCTTCACACCCACTGTTAGCCGGATCCAAGGAGACTCACTGGGTGGGAAATGAGCTGACACTTTTATTAGGGAGAGAGTGAGAGAGGAACTAGGGAGGTGAAGAAAGGAAGGTCTCCTGGCCTCACCCCCTTTCCCTCCTCCTGGGCTCCATGGACCCCCATCTCCCACGCTGTTGCCCTCTCTGTACCCCGCGCCAAGGAGCTGACCTCCTGGGCCCCTCACAAGCCAATTCCCCCTCCGGAGCCAATTCCCAGCGCGCCCTCCTCTCCCAGTGAACCCGGGGGGCCTCTGGAAGGAAGGCGCCCCCTGGCTTCTCAGGAGGAAGTGTCCTTGGCCAGGAAGGAGCTGGCAGTGGTGCAGGACTCCTCTTGGGGCCCCAGGCTGGGCGGGGCACGCCTCCGAGCGCAGCAGAGCAGGCTGCGCAGCTCTGAGGAGACGCTGCTGCTGAAGGAGGCATAGATCCAGGGGTTGGTACAGCTGTTGAGGCTGCCCAGCAGCATTAGCAGCACGAAGGGAGGCCCTGTGTGGGGGGAGGAGAAGGATTGGGGGCTGCAGGTACCCAGGCAGGGGTGCGACCCCATGTGCCTACTAGGGGCTAGTGAGCCCAAGGCTGGATGGGGGGGTGGGCAGGTAGAGGTGCATATGCAGCCAAGCCCCAGCGCTTCCCATAGCCCTACCACAGCCACACCCACCTTCCGTCGGTGCCTTCGGGTCCCACGCCGCCCACAGTTGCACAAGGAAGAAGGGCGCCCAGCACAGCACGTAGACGATGACAATTACCAGCGTCATCCTCACGGTCTTGGCCATGGCTGCTGACACAGGGGCTCCCTCGCCGGAACTGGCTGTCCGACGTCCCCTGGCCCTCTCTGCTGGCCCTGGCACCAGGCTGGCATGAATCTCCCGGAAGATGAGCACCTGACAGGCAGCGATGCCCAGAGCAGGTGCCACAAACACCATTAAGGCAATCCAGGTGACATAGGCACGGAGGCCCCAGGGTTCGATAAAGAGGCCCCAGCACTCAAAGACCCCACTGTGGCCTTCCACTTCGCGCTGGGCAAAGATGAAGAGCTGGGGCAGGCTGAAAAGTAGTGAGAAAGCCCAGGCCAGCAGCACCGGCTGGTTCCAGTGAGCGCCCCCTCCATGGCGGTATGCCACCATGGGGTGGCAAATGGCACGGTGGCGGTCCAAAGTCATGGCCAGGATCATGTAGGAGGAGGCATACATGCCCACCATCTGCAGGTACTTGACAGCCCGGCACAGGGCATCAGGCCCTTGGAAGCGGTCGGTGGCATCCCAGGCCAGCTGGGGCAGCACTTGGAACAGAGCCACGACCAGGTCAGCCAGGCACAAGTGGCCGATGAAGACGTGCATAGGTGCCCAGCGGCCACGCCGGCCATGCCGCGCCAGGGCCCCCAGCACCAGGCTGTTGCTCAGGGTCACGGCCACAAAGACTATGGAGAGCAGGGCCAGCTCCGCCTGGGCTAGCAGCTGGTTCCGGGTGTCCTCCTTGCTGCTGTTGCCGGGTGGGAGAGGCTGAGAGAGGGGTTGAGGCACAGCTGGGTAAGGACCGGGGAGGAGGGGGGGAGAGGAGAGGGCTAAGTTAGGGGAGTGTGCTCTGCAGGAGGTTCCACTGGACAAGTAGAGCCAGTGGCCTGGGTCTTCTGATGCCCCACCTGCAGGGCCCTCATCCTTCACCTCACATGCTAGGGAGGGAGGGGCAGCCCCAGCCCCCAGGGGCCTCCTGGAGAGAAGGGTGAAAGAGGTCCCTGAAACAGGGGCTTCTAGGCTTCCTCCAACCCCACTGCAGCCAAGCCCACAGTTGGGGGAGGGGAGGGGCCCAGGGGCTGGAACCTTACCAGAGACGGTGGGAGCCGTGAGCATGGTGGGGTGTCCTGAGTGCCTGGAGGAGACAGGGTGGCGAGCTCAACCTCCCCTCCCCCACCCCCCACCCCCGCAAAGGGCTGGCCCCACTGCCCAGACTCTTTGGACAGAGGTCCTTAGGGTGGTATAGTGTCTGTGTGTGGGGCTGGGGTGGGGTGGGGGTACCAGCCTGTGCGTGCAACTGTGTGTATGCACGTGTGTGTTTTCCAGCGATTGGGCACTGGTGTGTGTGTGTGTGTGTGTGTGTGTTCTAGTGATCAGGAGCTGGGGGGACACCCTTAGCTGGGTCAAGGTTGGTGAGGTCTGGCCCCACCGAGCCAGGCATGGACCTTGGGGTCCTGCTGTCCTCCTCCTAGGACTGGGCAGGGGAAGATAGAGAGGGGGACGATGAAACAGATGGACAAACGGAGCCTAGGACCCACCTAGGCAGTCCACAGACCCGAGGCAAACATATAGAACCCCCTGTCCTAACAGAGGCTCAGAGAGGCGCAGCGGGAGAGCTGGGGACTGGGTGGGAAGGGCCGGCGCGCCCCCGGGGCCCTTGCAGACCCTTACCTGGCTGGGCTCCTGGGGTCCTGGGAGGGTTCCTGGGAAGCTGGGCAGCAGCGGGCTCAAAGGTGTCCCAGGAGCTCAGATCTGCTCTCCATCGCCCGCCCCGCCCCAGCCCAGCGTCTGGGAGTGACCTGCCCAGGGGGGGACTTCCTCCCCTCCTCCCCCTCCGCCCTCCCTGGCCTCCTGCCTGTGGCACCGGGAAGGACTGCTTCCCTTCCCGCCCCCAGCCCCTCCCAGGTCTGTCCCCAGGATTCCATTCCTGAGGGCCCTGAGACTGGTCCCCAGCGTGGCCCAGCTGTGACCGCCAGGCCGGCTACTCGCCCCCCTCTCTGCCCCTGCTGCCCCCACCCCCCACCCTGGGGCCCAGCTTACTAGAATGCTGGGTCTGGCAGGGCTCTGGGAGATCACTTAGTTCAGCGTCTCCATCCTAGACATGGGGAAACTGAGACCAGTGCTCAGGATCATACAGCTTTTCTGGGGTAAGCTTGACGCCTCCTTCCCAAGCCAGGCTCCTTCTGTCTGTCTTCGGGTCCGTGTGAAGAAAGGGTGAGAGCTCAAGGAATCCCCACTAACACAGAGGGCCGGCCCCTCCCAGGCCCACAAAGCCCCTCCCCCTCCTCAATTAGGGCCAGCCGGAGATGAAGGACAGGAAGGGAGGAGGTGGGGTGGTATCAAGGTCTTAACGTGCCCTGTGAGATCCAGTTTCCTCCCCAAGGCCCAATGGGAGCCAGGGACACCCTTGCCCTGCTCCTCCCCCACCTGAAACTACCTGTCCCTGAAGGAGGGGGCTTCTGAGCTCCTGCACTCATGCATATTCCAGCTCCCCCCTCCCGCCCCCGCCCCTCACACACACACCCTCACTTATATGAAACAGCCATATGCCCACAAAGGCATACACACTTGACATCACAGACAGACACACAGGAGGGCCCGAGAGGTGCCGCCCTGCCAGGGCCTTCAGGACTGGGCCTCCCCTGCCTCCTCTCCCCTCCTCAGGCTCTAGGACTCCCTCAACCTCTAGCCCAGCGTTCTCCCCCATCCCAGGCACCCCCATCCCACCCCTCCCCTGCCCTCACTCAGCCCAGGCTGGCCCAGCCCAGCCCAAGGCAGTAGCCTGCACACAGCCAAGGGCCAGGCTCTGGCCTGAGTTCGACTCTTTTTTCCTGTTTGTCTGTCTTCTCTGTTGACCTGCAGAGACCAAAACAGCCCCTCACCGACCAGGCCCAAGTATAACCAAGGCCAAGGCCTCCTCTTCCTACCCAGAGAGACTGGCTGTACCCCAGCCCCTCCCAGCCTCTGACTGGGCAGCAGGGGAGGTGGGGGCAGGTGTCTTATACATGTACCACACCCCCTACACACCACACACATAGCATACAGCACACACACACAGCCCTCAGTGCACACACATGCATACCGCACACACACATTCTACCTCCTGACATTACATATGTACCAGCCTGCAGTGGCCTCTGTGGCCTTGGTCACCAAGACTCTCCCAGCCTTGCAGGCTAGGTGGAACCTCCCTGTCCACCCCAGGAACTGAGGCGCCTGCAGAGGATCATATGTCCCTGTTTTGCCATCCCCAGCTGTGTGACCTTGCACAGGCTATGCCCAGCTCTCTGCGCCTCAGCTTCCTGCTCTGTACACTGAGAATCTAATGATCGAAGGTGGACACGTGGTGGCCCAGCTGGTGTGGCTCAGTGGTTGGGCATCGACCTATGAACCAGGAGGTAACCATTCCACTCCCGGTCAGGGCACATGTCTGGATTGCAGCTCAATCCCCAGTGTGGGACGTACAAGAGGCAGCTGTTCAATGACTCTCTCTCATCATTCATGTTTCTCTCTCTCTCTCCCTCTCCCTTAAAAAAAAAAAAAAAAAAAACATAAAAAAGGGGTGGATACGCAGTGATAGGATGGGCAATGGCCTGACCCACAGGTGCCTCCAGCAGTGCTAGAGGCTGGCAAGAGATGCTCCCGGGACTGGTCAGGAAGGGGTGCCAGCCTTCCCGGGCAATCACTTCCTTATGAGTTTCTCCGCTTGGATTCTTGGATTCGCAGGGCTGGATCCCAGTGGAGAGCTGACGCAGGGCGGGGCCCTGAGCCATGAGGCCGGGCCCGTGACCATCTCTGCTCTGCGCACTCCTTGTTTCCTGTTGTTGAGCCCAGGGAAAAGTCTTGGGGAAGGCCCCCCTTCCTGTCGCTTTCTCTGGGCTCCAAGAAGCAAGGGGAGGGGTTTGTGTCCACACCGAGGCCAGGACATAAAGGGAAGCTGCTCATGGAACTCCCCCTGGTCAGCCAGCACAGTCCTGGGGACCTCCGAGATGCTGAGAGCCACCAAGGCAGGAGGGTGTGTCCAAGAGAGTGGCTCTTCAGCTGAGAGCCCTGAAGGCTCAGGAGTCCGTGGTGCACGTGCTGGCGCTGCATGGGCACCGTGCCAGGGAGAGGCCGGCCCGGCTGAGTCCCATTGCCTACAGCAAGGAGCCAGTCAGAGGGGAGAGGCCCCTGCCCCAGCCACCTACAGGGGACAAGAAAGATGGAGCTTGGCAGCAGCTCAGGAAAAGAAAGGCTGGCTGGATTATTCACTGTCAGGGCCACGTGCGTCAGCAGAGATGGCACTGGGCTGCCCAGAAGCCCCGGCCCCCTGGACAGCAGGTACTGAGAGCAGGGTGAATACCTGGAGACAGGCAGGTGAGTGGGGGCCCTGGAGAGGAGAGAGAAGGCAGGATCCCTAACCGGCTCATGCTCACCCTGGGGAGCACTGGGAAATTCGTTCTGGAAGGCTGGAGAAGGGCTTGGCTATGGCCTGGCCAGTTACCCTCAGCGGACCTCAGGCCTCGGGCCTGGGACAGGACTGAGCGGACATTCTCCCCACCCCCCTCTCCCCCCAGGGCAGCCCCTCTGCCCAGCTTTCCACCACCTCCCTCTAAGATTCCATTGGCAGAAAGCATTCCGTGGGTGGTTGAGGTGTGGGGCTCTGCACTCTCCTGTCTGAGCAGAAGAAGCCTGGAGGCCCCGGGAAGCAGGGAGCACTGGCTGTCCCAGGTGCCAGCCGCGGGGGCAGGAGTTCAGAGCAGGCAGGACCCCAGATCTGCCTGCCCTGCTCTCTTACTGGCTCTCTGTAACCAGAACCTTTTATTTATTTACATTTTGATTGATTTCAGAGAGGAAGGGGGAAAGAGAGAGAGAGAGAGAGAGAGAGAGAGAGAGAGAGAGAGAGAGAGAGAGAGAGAGAGAGAAACACCAAAAATGAAAGAGAATTATTGATCGGCTGCCTGCAACCCGGGCATGTGCCCTGACAAGGAATCGAACCGTGACTTCCTGGTTCATAGGTTGACACTCACCCACTGTGCCAGGACAGCCGGCCTGTTAATTAGAACCTTTTGCTCAACAAATAGCAAGTTCTGCTGGCCCTGCACTTGGTGTGGAGGTGGGAGGGCCTGGGCCCTGCCAGGAGGAGCACAGGGTCCTGTGCTGAGAGGAGTGGGGGCGGAGAGGCTGGGAGAAGCCCCAGGAAAGAAATGGTGGGACATGATTAACGCCACCAGGCAGTGGGGATGGAGAGGAAAGGCATTTCTTGGGCCCTGGATAGACTCTTGAAAGACATTTGGGATGAAAGAGTAAGAGGAGGCAGCCAAGGACATGGAAAAGGAGTGATGGAAAACCAGGAGACCGCCCGACTGGTGTGGCTCAGTGGCTGAGCATCGACCTATGAACCAGGAGATCATGGTTTGATTCTGGTCATGCCACATACCCCGGGTTGCGGGCTTGATCCCCAGCAGGAGGTGTTCAGGAGGCAGCCAATCAATGATTCTCATCATTGAAGTTTCTATCTCTCCCTCTCCCTTCCTCGCTGAAAATAATAGAATATATTAAACACACACACACACCCCAGGAGAGCTTGGGTTCACAAGGCTGGGAGGAGAGACAGGTGCCACAAGGGAAGGAAAGACACAGCAAAGCTGCTGAGAGGCCCAGAGAAGGAGGCAACCCTATTGGACATCCCTCCCTACTGGGTGCACATTGCAGATGGCGGACCTGCGTGGCAGTGGGAAGAATGAACGTGCTCACACCAACTGAAATGATGCCTGAGGAGCGCAGCGAGGAGAGCCTGATGTCATTCCCATGCCTGGGAGAGGCTCGGATGGGGAGAAAGAGCTTTGAGTCAAAGGATGGGGTCAAAGGACGGGATTGAAGGGGGGAGCACGTGCCTGTGTGCGTGCAAGTGTTCACTGAGTCATGCATGGGCCAATGACAACAGGAGGACAGGGTGACCATTCATCTGAGGTCCAAAGTAAAGTTAAACAGAGCCTGTTTGCAAAAGTTGCAGAAGGAGGAGAGTGATACCTGGTGGATTAGGAGCCCTGCAGGCTGGGGAAGGGCAGGGTCCCCAGGAGGCTCTGGGTCACCCCTCTCCTGGGCTGAGAAACTGGGGTGTAGAAGGCAGGTGAGCAGTTGAGGGCTGTGTCCCCAGATGGCCATGCGGTCCCCATCTGAGGGGAAGGCAGCCCTATAGGAGGTCTCTCTCTCTCTCTCTCTCTCTCTCTCTCTCTCTCTCTCTCTCTATATATATATATATATATATATATATATATATATATATATATATATTTGATTTCAGAAAGGGAAGGGAGAGGGAGAGAATCATTGATCGGCTGCCTCCTGCACGCCTGCCACTGGGGATCGAACCCGCAACCCGGGCCTGTGCCCTGATGGGAAATCAAACCATGACCTCCTGGTTCATAGGTCAATGCTCAACCCCTGGCCAGGCAAAAGGTGTCTCTTTTTGGTCAGAGTTATACACACATGTGGCTTAAAGTGGCAGATGGTTCAAGGCTGAGGCTTGTAACAAAAAGCAGCAGCTGCTCCTCATTTCGCCTTCCCAGAGCAGAGCCAACCGGTTTCAGCTCCTTCCAGGGGCTTTCTGGGTAATTACCTCTGTGTGACTCAGAAATGAACCTCCAGCTCTCCATTCATCATCGCCACCACCACACAGCCTTCCCCCTCCGCTGCCTGCCTTCCATACGGCTGCATCTAGAGCTGCTTCATTGGTGCCCAGTGCTTCCACTCTTCTGACTGCCGTGGCCCAGCCAATGATTTCTCTCCTTGTCCTGAATGACTTTAGAAAGTATTTGTTATTGATTTCAGAGAAGAAGGGAAAGGGAGAGAGAGATAGAAACATCAATGATGGGAGAGAATCATTCCTCGGCTGCCTCCTGCACGCCCCACACTGAGAACCCAGCCTGCAGCCTGCGCATGTGCCCTGACCGGGAATCGAACCATGACCTTCTGGTTCACATAGGTCAACCCTCAACCACTGAGCTATGCCAGCTGGGCCTGAATGGCTTAAAAATCAGCTTCATTGAGGTAAGATTAGCCTAAAATGAAATTCACAAATTGTTTGGTGAGATTTGCCACATGGATACAGTGGTGTAACCAGCACCATAACCATGACAGAGGACGTTTGCATCATTCCAGAAAGTTCCCTCATGGCCCTTTGCAATCTCTATCCCCAACCTGGAGCCTAGCAACCAGGATGTTTCTATCACTACAGATTTGTCTT